AATTTGTATAGAAATAAATTGTTAAAAAATCTAGAATCAAATGAAACATTACAAATATAATATTTTGGTAAAACTGAAAATGAAAATAAAAAAATAATTATTATTATTTGAATAACAAGCCATAAAGAACAGGACTCACAAATCTTGTTCAAAAAATAAAAAAAGAGACTCACTAATCTAATTGTAGACTAAGAATAACATTTTGAACTAAAAAGAAAAAAAAAACTAAAAACATTTGAGTCTTTAAACTTCGCATCGTTCTTTCGTGGTGGAGAGTTGAATCTTGTTAGGTTCCTTCGKAGTGTTTTCTTCATCTTTTGAACCCCAYACYRAGTAATATGCATATAGAACTAGTTGGAGAAGACATGAAATTGCTCCAACACCATTGCTTATCTGCAAGGTTTTTATAAATTAAAATATTGGTCAAATTAAAAGCTTCTAGGGCCTGATATCGAGAAKAAATGCCTAACTTTCCAACTTATGGATAGAAAAATCTACGAAATATCGATGGAAGAATACTAAAAAGGCAAAAAGAAATTCGAAAAAATAAAAATGTAAGGCTTCTTATTGATACATTGTTATGGTTTCTAACTTGGTAAACACTAGAAAGGAGTGAAAAAGAATATGTTTTTTCATTATTGCAAAAATTTGTATTAGGAGTAGGGAGGAGAATACACATACCAGCATATAGATATCAAATTTGATGACGGCGTAAGCTGTCCAGATGCAACCATTGAGAAAGTTGGCTAATGAAAGTGTAAACGGCATATACTTGACACTCTTTGTCACTATCACCTTTTTCTGTAGAAATTAAGGAGTAGATTTTAATGTTTGTTTTTATTATAACATTATAATCATCTACAAGAGGGCGATACTTACCATGATGGTTAGAGGAGAAACATACATCATGATGTTGAATACGTCACAGATCAACATGGTCGTCCACCCTCCACTTTTTTAAAACTACTRTACTTTTAAAAAAAGTTTCCAAACATWCCATATTTTAAACGATTTTAATTAAARTACAATATTTTTAAAATAACTTTTATTATTAACATTATTAATAAAAAAACACCCGATTTTTCAATCGACTTGAACTTGTCCCCTCGCTCGTTGCCGGTGGTCATCAAAAAAGCTCCTCTCCAAATTTCCCCCTCCATTTTCCATTTTCTGTAAACCCCGGCGAACGATCCTCTCCAATTTTTAGACCTTGGCGAACGGTCCTACACACCCCGGTGATTTTTCGATCGGCTTTGAACCCCCCTCCCCCTCTGATTTTTGATCCACGTTGAACCCGCCCCCTCCATTCTCGCACGTCACTGGTGGTCATCTGAAAAGGTCGTCGTTGCTGTCTGTAAGCCTCTCAACTCCCTCATATTTTTGTTTTTTTTTTCTTTCAATTTCTCCTTCATATTTTTAGTGAAGTTTCTCTGTTTTTATTTTTGTAAAAGTAGTGGATTATTTTGATATGTTGGATTGACAAAATCAAGCTTCTGTTCCTGTGGTTGCTGAAACTTGATACCTGATATTTTTGTTACTTAGAAGTAGAATAATTTTTTCTTCCGTCTAAATCACTATGAAATTAGCAGAAAGTTCTTCATGGGACTTCCATCAATTATTAAAGTTTCAGTCATTAAGGCTTCAGTCGTACAGCATAATAGATATATAGGTCTGAACATATCAATAGCAGAACAAGACTCTTGTCTTGAAGGATTATGTCGATGAGATACTAAAGTAATCATGCAACTTCGAAAGACATAGATTATTGTTAATTATGTAACCAAACGTTTTGAAATGTTTTTTTTAATGTATTAAGAAGACTTTTCACCATTCCATAATCCATATCGAGCCAAGTAACAAGCAGGTTATTAATTTCAATTGTGCAAGAATGTGTATCTATTCCATGATGAAACTTTTTCTTTGCGATATCCAGTTTTCTTTGACATTTTCTCTTATTGCGTAATATACTATTAAGAAGTATTTTAAGCCTTAATTACTGCATTTGATTTTGTTTTCTTTTTCTTTCCCTTATTGTTTGTATTTTTTGTTTAATCTTGTATGATAGATTGTATTTTGGAGTGTAAATGGGTAGGTTTTGGACAAAAATACGATGCGAATGGAAAATGAGTGAATCGAATGAAAATTGTTGGTAATTTAGGTATTGTCTAATAAATACCATTTTGTTTTTTGGTTTTGTGTTTTTAATTTTTTTTAAATTGAGCTTTATTTTTAAATCTATATCTATTTTTTGTTTTTATTTTCTARAAATTATACATGGAAAATGAATTTAACTTTTATCACAAAGTTTATATAACTTTATAACGAATTCCTACRGGATTGAACTTTACAAGTTCGTCAATATTAATTGTTATTTGGTTTGAAAAATATACTTGGAGAATGAATAAGGATTGGACTAAGTAGCTAGAACGAGGTCCGAAGCTTTTACTAAAAACAATGAAAACACACTCAAATGTTGACGATGGTGGTAATGCGCGTGTGGGCTTTAGTTTTGGCTTACCTCACACCAAGTTTATAAGTTGAATACACAGGTCATGCTTATAAACCAACCTCCCAAATGTTATACTTCCAATGTGGGACAAAATAATATTTGTCATTCCCAACATATATTAACTTAATCATAGATCAAGTTCTAGTTCCAATTATAATGAAATTAATTAAATTAGAACTAAAGTTTAAATAATAGATAACTCAACCTAAACCTTAAGCAAAATAATAACGCAAAAAAAAATATTAAGGACAAACTAATATCAATTTTATATGGTTGGTTCACCAAATATGGCTATGTCCCGTTCTTTGCAATTATTACAGGTTCTACTAAAATGTCAAGTAGAATTTTTCAATAATATACCATCGTTCCATAATGGTGTCTCTCAATTTTTCACCAAAGAAAATGCTCATAGATCACTCGACAAGCTTCTTAAAACTCTTTAATATAATAGATCCTACAGAAAAACTCTTCTTGCTATCTCTCAAAAGAATCACTCACAGCTCGAAGGGAGAAATAATGAAGAAGTATACAAAAATAGGTTTGTGCTTTTTATTCTCTTAGCCCAACAATGAAGTCCTCGACTTCATTTTCCTTTATCATTAATTGAGACTCTCATTCATATAGTATATCACTCATAGACTAAATAAGTCTATCAATGATATATACTATATTCCTGGTAGATTATCATTGATAAATTTATATTAATAATCATTCTATCACTTATATATACCAAAGAATTTGTATAAGTGGCAAAACAATTCCAATTAATTGCAAATATACCAATAACATTCTAGATTTTAAAATTAAAAAATAATAATAATAACATAAGCTCTTACTCACTAAAAATATTAAAATAGCTTCGAAAGGTCTATCCGTCTATTAATAAGAGACTATATCACTAATTATAGTCTATCGATGATATGTTATACCACTTATTAAGAGTCCATTAATAATATATTATATCACTAATAGATAATCTGTGATAGTCTCATATCAATTATTATAGACAGGTGATAGATGGATAAACATATAAGTAATATACACCAGAGTAAAAATAAAATTATATAAAAATGTCTTAATAGAGATATGAAATTAAAAATATATATATTTGCAAAATCGTAATCATGTTATTATATTTGAAAATATGTCGATATGAATTAGAGTTTTGTCCTTTATTGTTTAAATTAAACTTAAAATAATATTTATCTTATATAAATAAAACCAATCACATCATATTAAAAAAAAATTTAAGTCAACCTAAACATAACTCAACTAATTAAAATTTATATTTTCGATAGAGAGTTGGAGGTTCAAATTCACGCTCTACATATTTTTTAACAAAAGCCTCATTTACTTCAAAAGAATGAGAATCAAATATTTCATTTCTTTGATGGTATTTACTCAATTGTAGATTAAAATCAATGAACGGGATCATCTCAAACTTTGTAACTATTTCTACATGTGTAATCTCATTCATTTTCTACAAGCTTATCATTATCGTTTCTTACTCTATGGACCCCACATCTTTGTTATAATTACTTTAAACTTTTACCTCTTCTCATTTATTAACGAGACCTATAACTTTTAATTAATTATTTTACAATTTATTATTATTTTTATTTATAGTACTAATAGTTTTTATTCTAACATAAATTTATACAACTTTTATTATAGTTTATGTAATTTTATATAGAATAATACAAATTTCTATTTAATTTTTTAATTTTAAATTTTGCTTTGTTATTATTAATTAATATCAATAAATGGGTCAAAATAGATTTCATTATTATTAAATGTTAGAATAATAAAATTTAATAATATTTTATATTAAATGATGGTTTTTATAATAAAAAATTATTTTAAATGTTGTAATTTATTTTAATTATTTATTATGGGTTAATATTACATAAATTCTTTTAATAAAAAAATATTTACTATCATATTAATGAAATAAATTAAAATTTATTGTTATTTTAGTTTGAAAAAATTAGTACAATAATGTAATTATAATTAGTTAGAAATCAGAAAATTGTATATATAGTAATTGTTATATATCTAATTCTTATTCCGTAACTATACCATTTTAGTAAACATATTTTTTATTGCTTTAGAAAACAACAAATAACATTTCCATTTTGATCCCATTCCTATCCCTTGTAAGTAAACGAGACTTAAAAAGAATCAAATCTTAAAAATGAAAAGTGAAAATTTGAGGTTCATTTGTTAATATTCTTGTTTCTTATTTCAACTCCATTCAGGTAACTGCTTATTTTTTAATACAAAAGAATGTACAATAAATAAAATCGATGTTTGGTGATAATTTGTTGTTTCTTATTCTCTGATTTTTAAATTGAAAAAAAGTAAAAGTTTTATAAAAAAAATTAATTTTCTGATTAAATATTCAAAATTGAACAGTGAATTGGGCCTGGTTGACGCCCAATAATAGAGTTCGAATCCGAAATCGGATAACATATATAAAGGAGAGGTCAGAATTGGGAATCCAGCAGCAGAGCCACTCGAAAACCATGTCCCTGTCCTCTACTTCCACTTCATCTTCTTTCCGCCCAAATCTCAATTCCATTTCCATTCCCAAGCCCAGAACCTGCTTCCTCTGTAATCCGATTCCGACTTCTCCGGCGATTCTCCTCCTCCGCCGCCGCCGAGCCTTGTCCGTGAGATCGTACATGGAGAATCCGAATTCTCTGTCCGGATTCGCGAACAAGGTCATCGGTTCTCTCCCGGTGGTCGGCCTGATCGCCAGGATTCTCAGCGACGAAGGCGGCGTCGGCACCGACATTATCGATTTCGCCGAGTTTCGGAGACGAGTTGGGAAGAAATGTACGGTCATGGATTCTAGGGCTTTCTACGAATTTCAAAACAGAAGAGGCAAGGTTAGTGTGTAACTGTATATATATATGTAGAGATTTTTAATTAATTACTTTCTTTAGCAAATCACTTTTTTTTTTAAATGTTATGGTGTTTAATTGAAACCTCTTCTTTCTACTGTGGAAGAATTATTAATTTATTTGGAGTTTAGAGTGTATTTATTATAGTTTTTTCTAAGTGGTTTTAAATAGTTAACACTGATTGGATAAAAATTTTCTATTATTAGTTTTTTCCAATACTATTTTAATATTTGGTTTCTATCCTTTTTAACTGGGGTGAACTATTTAAAATTATTTCTCAAACTTTAAGAATTAAAAGGTGTTCGTTTTGCAACTTCATGGACCATGTAAACATCAAATTCAAGCTCGAGTCAAAAGTCTACATTTCACTATTTCAGACCAAATAGACAGTATCTATATTTTTACGGTGAGATTGATATCTTGATTGATCCCAATTTTTAAAATTTGAGTTAAAAAAATCAGCTACACAAGCCCTCCTGTCAGGGAAAAAAAAAACCCCTAAGGCGAACCCTTTTCTAAGTAGAGTTAATGGTGGAAGTTAAAAAGATTTAAAATCAAATCTTATGAAGTCTTAAATTTTCATTTGGTCTCGTTTTTTTTATTATTATTATTTATTTTAATCTAGGTACTTTTTTCGTTTCGGTCCCTATACTTAAAAAGAAAATATCAAGTCTCTTTATTTTATTTTTTATCTCATTTTTTAGTCACAATTTCAAACACTACTTTTAATATATTTCTTAAAATGTAGTGATTTCTAGCTTTTTTGTTGAATCTGTGTTAAAATTTTGCAATCAAAAACCAAAATGGACCACTTTGAAAGTACARAGACAAAAACAGACGTTTAGAAAGTACAATAATTAAAATGAAAAGTCGAATGTATAAGGACTAAAATGGAACCAAAATAAATGTTTTGAAAATATTTTGATCAAACAGCACCAAAATAATATGTTGTTTTAATTCAATCATAAGATTTTGAAGTGAAGTTTTGGTAATTGTAGGCAGGAGAGCCATTGTATGTTCTATTGTGCTGTTGGCTGGCAGCTGTGGGAGCTGGTTTGCTTAAAACAGAGGAGATTTTGGAGGGAGTGGCAAGGCTCAGGATTTCAGATGATATTGAATTTGAAGAGGAGACTTTCCTTTCCATGATGAATGAGGCTAGAGAGGTTGGCTAATCTTGCTCTTACATCATCTTTTTTTATATTTGTTTGGAATTCTATTTTTCATCCGAAATTTTTACATTTATTTTTAGTTAAACCACACGTTTAGTCTCTGAATTTTTAATATATAATTAATGTCTGAACTTTAAAAAGTATCTAATGCGTTGTGTTAATGGGTTTGTAGATTTTTTTAAAAAATGTCTGATAGGTCAGGACTATTCAACAAGAAAAAAAAGAAGAAGAAAGCTTAGAGACCTATTAGACGAGATTGAAAGTGATGAAAGTTCTTAGACTAAACTTGTAATTCAACCTTTGTCTTATTTTAGTTTTTGAACTTTTAAAATATATATTTTAATCTCAAAAAATGATCATTTTGATCGTCATCATTGTCATTGCTCTACCGTCAACTTTCTCATTGTCTTTTCCTTATTGTTGGTCTATAATCAACCCTAATTAGTATTTTAATACATATTTGAATCYACGTTATTCGTTTGTTAAACAATCGATAGCAGTAATAATCGAAATTATTTAATTATTTATTTTTAAAAATTCACGGACTAAAGTGAATATTTCAAAAGTTCACGATCAGAATAGAATGAACATGTAATTCAACGATCAAAATGAGATTTAAACTTTTGCATTCTTCTAATGAAAGCTATAAGCACCGTAGTCATCTTACACCAACTAACAATATACATTCTTCACGATTGTCGTTCACTTCCAGAGACGAGGAAAAGTAAAAGCTGCTACTCCAAACATCCCGATGCAGGTCCGAGTCGAGAAAGCTCTCGACGCTATCTATGTCTGTTCGTTCGGGAGAGATCCGATAGAGGAAGACGATGAGAAACTGATAGTAATTATGCTAAGTGCTGTGTTTCCATCGGTTGGGCAAACTGAGATTCAAAGGATTGTGAAAGAGAAGGCAGTTAGAATTGCTGAAGGCAAAGACAGTGCCATTGTTCCTGAGCCGAAGCCTTTGTCAAAAGAAGCCATTTTGCTGCAAATGAAGGACCTCCAATTCCTCCAAGAGAAGAGTGAGACTTAATAATGATGATTATATTGAGTTGCATAATTTGTAAGAATTGAATTTTCTGCTGCACGGTTCTCTTGTCTAGAAAATATTGCCTGTTAATTACGATATCAATATGGTTCTAGATTAGAGTAGTGAGTTCGGGTAAAATCGAGTTGATATAATTTGCTCATAAAGCTAAAATGTTCGATTAAATTATGTTATGGTCAAGGTTTTAAATGTCGATGTCTTAATTTTATGGAAATGTCGATAAAAATATTGATGTTGGATAAATATTTTTTAAAAAATCTTTAAATCAATAAATAAGTCTTTCATTTGTTATAGGTAGAATCAGAGTCTGCCACATGGTCCTTTCATCTAAAAAAATAATGTTTGGACCTCACACTAAACAAGCTAAGACCAAGGAAGGCCAGACAYGATTCATACATAACCAGCTCAACATCGACCTAGGTGCACGGATGTAGAATCCACTAGCTATTAGTTATAGAGCACCAACCAAAAATGGTAGAATAACACTGCTCAAAGTTCCCCTATGAAAACGGGATTCATTCTTTAGAGAGGGATGCAATTCTACATAATCTTACTAAGCTCAACTCGACACCGATTTAAACTAACTCATGTGGCAGAGTTGCACACCGATATAAACTTTCACTCTAGTTGACTACCTTAATGAGTTTAGAAGCCTACCTATCACCTCAATTAGAATTCGACATCAACAACATCCTTTTTTAATAAATTGAAAATTCTTATGATATTATTTTTATGTTACAATTTTTTATACGACATAATAGAAATTTTATATTAGAAATGTCAATTAAAATACCAACTATGTCTTTAGATATTTAATACCCAATATGAATGGGAAGTAGATCCATTACATTAGATATTTAATACCCAATATGAATGGGAAGTAGATCCATTACATTATTAATAGTCGTATTTGCTTGGAACAAGTGTAACTTGAAACTCAAAATAGAACCATCATTGATTAAGTCAATTTAGATAGCTCTTGTTGTTTTATCAATACTACAAGTCGAGATGAAATCTTTTCAACGTTGAATTTTTAATACATCCTCTCAAAATCATAGTTCTTTAGGCTCATACTATATTCATAGATCTCATCCCAAAATTTATYGGCCATAAGAGAAGTAGCTCATATTTACTATATACCTTCGTAAGAACATTTTTCTTTTCAATGGAGAATCCTTACCAGTTTTCTACCAAATGAGTTAAATCTTGGTCGATTTTGTTGGTTTTCAATCTTTTTCATTGGGAATTCATTCAATTCGATGAATACAACTTTTGGATGGAAAAGTAAGAAGCTCTCATTCATCCTCATACATTCCATTTTACATGGAATTACATTACATTACGTCTGATTACCAACAAAGACTCACAAGAAACTGATTTAAGGAAACAAGTTAAGCAACTCCGATCCCATGGAAGCCAACTTTTATTTTGGAAACTATTTTTATTTTTGACTAAAATGGCAAAAGGGGGAGGGAGCTAAATCCAAATTCCAAGCCAAAGCCAGAGAAGCATCAGAGAGAGAACTATTTATCGGTACTGAGGTGCGAGTTCTCCTTCCTTCACGATGTAGTTCTGAGCGGGAAATTCTTCTCCTTTGAAATACCTCTCAAGCATGTCCTTCACTCCCGCAGCATATCGCAACTGCCATCCAATGCATGAACTCAGATAAAATTTTACCTTCTAACTTTTTATATATAAAATAAAATACCTCTTTCAAGATCASTGGAAAAAGCATATAAAACGTTCTTGGCTGGTTATGGTCTCAATTTTTTTTTCCGAGTACAACATGTGGGGGTGGGGGATCGAGCTCACAACCTCTTGRTTGGAGATATATGTCAATTACCACTGAACTATGCTTGCTTTGGCCGATCATGGTCTCAATTTTACCCCTACCGCTTTAGACGTTTCAATTTTACCCTTCATCTTTTAATTTGTTTTATAAGATTGGGGTAAAATTGAAACTAAAAACCACTTTAGGAKCATTCTATGTAATTCATTTCTTTTATTTTTTGCCCCTAATATACGTTTTAAACCAGCTACATAATCTAAAGCCATTTTGGTATAATTTATTAGCCTATTTTATATACATTCTTCTAGATTTAAAACAATTGCTCTTATTTTGAAACTATACCTGAGCATCAATGGTGGTACCAGAAATATGAGGTGTCATAGCTTGGTTTGGCATGTAACGCCATGGATGGTCTTTTGGAGCTGGTTGTGGGTTCCACACATCACCACTGTAACCTGCATATTCAGAATTCTTTGAAGTATTAGCCAACAATGCAATTGGTTCGAGTTTCTTTTACTTCACTTAATGGATCCATAGTAACTCATAATGATTTTATTGAATGGTTACAATTTCAGTCTCTATATTCTGCTACTTGTGATGTTTTGATCTCATACTTCCACACCAAACTTTTGCAAACATATCAATTTAGTCTCTTAATGTCAATTATCTGATTATATAATACTAGAAAGTAAAATATCGCCAACAAAAGCTAAATGAACACCTTGATATGTTATATGATTACATGTAGGAAGCTGACAAGACATGGCGATAGCGCCACTTCAGCTTTCCGATGTACGTGACAGATCAAGGTGTTATATCCAGACACATTAGTATGGAATTTTATTCTTAAATTACCTCCAATATGTCCGCTGTTACAAGCGTCAACAACTGCTTGGGTGTCCATGATTGCTCCTCGAGCATTGTTGACAATCAGCACTCCCTTCTTGCACTTGGCAATTCTCTCTTTGTTAAATAGTCCCCTGCAGCAGCGAAGCAGAATCAATTTCCATTAGTATGAAGAATCCAAGCTTCCAATTTAGAGTATTATTCAAAGTTTTTCTTATGTTTATCATCTCAATTTACAGTCTAAAGTTGAAGCAATACCTTGTCTTGTCAGTTAGAGGAGTGTTGATGACAAGTACATCACATTTTGGTAGCATTGCATCCAGGTCCTCTTCAAACTGCGCTCCTATCTGCTTCTCAAGTTCAGGATCGATCTTGAGTCGGTCGTGGTAGAGGAGATTGCAGTTGAAAGGTTTCAACCTTTGAAGTAAGAGTTTGCCGATTCGCCCAGCGCCTACGGTCCCAACTGTCTTCCCCTCGAGATCGTAAGCCCTATGAGCAATTCCAGCGACATTCCATTCGCCATTAATAACCTGGTGGTGTCCTGGTAGGAAATTCCTGACAAGAATGAGAATTCTCATTAGCTCGTCCTCTGCAACTGAAACCACATTGCTTCCAGTAACCTCTGCAACTGTTAGTCCAGCAGCAGCAGCAGCATTGAGGTCAACATGATCAGATCCAATTCCAGCAGTGAGAAGCAACTGCAAGTTTTTGGCCTTTTTGATCCTTTCAGCAGTTACATAGGCAGGATGGAAGGGGGTGCTTATGAGAACATGGAGATCTGGAATATGCTTTTCAAGCTCTGAAACAAGGATGCAGAAAACCACATGACTTCAATCAGAACACAGATAATATGTGATTAATCACCTGCAATATATATTTTGTAGGGATTTAAAATATTTTTATGTTCTAAACTAATTTGATATCATGCATAGATCATTTGATACTGTCATGTTAAAATAAGTAATATGCCAAAAAATATATTTATAACTTAAATCATGGTAATGTTCATTAATTTAAGTTAATTTCTAGTTATGTGTTTAGAATGGTAATGATTTAGGTCCCGTTTAAAACTATTTTATTTTTTTGAATGCATGTAAACACTACTTTTCTCTATTATCTACTTTCTAAAAACATTTTTAAAATGTATGCCAAATTTTGAAAACTATTTTTTTAAAACTTGTTTTTATTTTTAAAATTTGGATAAGGATTCAAATTTGTTAAAAGAAGTAAAAAAATTGAGAGGAATCTAATCTTTAAAAATAGAAAACTAAAAACCAATCTATTAKAAAACGAGGCCTTAAATTTTGACTTTTGATCATATTATCAAGATTTTCCATATTAAGGCTTACCTAACGTCTCTTAGTGGTCAAATAACTCTATTAAGAACAAAWATATTATCAGGCACTAAATTGATTGTTTAGCATACTCCAAAAATTGGATATTTTTTAGTCTATACAATTTTCTGACATGAGCATAATTGAAATATATATTCATTTTAAAGTTCAAATCCCACTCCAGAGTTGTGGTACTCGTAAAAAAAAGAAATTACATTCAATTTTGTTAGTTTTATTTGGGAAACATCTTGTCAAATAAGTATAGAGAAGAAAAATATTCGGAGAAGGAATTTTCTGATTTTTGATTACGCTCTCATTTCAGATGGAAGGGAGAGAGGACTAAATTTAGAAAGCAAACAAATCAGGTGAACCCTAAATTTAGAAAGAAAACAAGTCTAAGTGAAGATCTTCTACACTAAGTTGTCATAAAGATATATACATGTTGAGCTAAATAATATGACCCAAGAGAATTTGAATTTTGAGAAGAATCTGCAGATAGTTGAAAACGGCAGCCCCTGACGCGGACTCCATAAAAGGTATTACACTTCAATTATTTGAAATTGAACAGTTGAGTGACAAAGTCCAACTAGCAATCATGTAATGCTTTTTTAGTAAAAAGAAAATTAAAGTGAAAACATATCTAAAATATTGACTACTAAAGTTGAAATGAAAAGTTCAAATTTAAAATATTATCTTTAGAATACGAAGCCCAATTAAAAACTTCTATATCTAAAATATTTTAATGTCTTCGTTTTATCTCATTTCAGCTTGCAAACGAGAATTTTCCTACTCTGGCCCCGAATGTTCTTTGAATCTAACCAAGATCACAGGCCATTTCCAAAGTAGAAAATTCATGCACATCGGGTAAGTATTTGTCTAATGCGTACCAGAATCGAGTCCTTCCTTGTCATCGGTAACAATATACTGATGACCTTGCGATTCCAACCACTCGCGAATGCCCAAGGCTCCCTCCACACATCCCACGAAATTAGGGTTCAGAGCAGCATACTCATTCGCCTTGTAAAACACTCCGACGATCTTCTTGCTCCCTGGAGAAGCCTGCTCAAAACGAAAGCCATTAATTAATTCACTTAAGATGATATTCACAAATCACGACAGCAACTCCAATTATCCATAAATCCTCCCTCCAGCTCACAATCAAACAGAGACATAAAGTAGGCTTTCCAGTTCTATGAATCTATCTTTACGATCGGGGACTCGAGCAGATTACAAATCACAAAAAGCAATTTCAGTTATCCATTAATCCTTCATCCAGCTCCCAATCAAACTCGATATCACACAGAGACAAATTAGGACTCCTGTTGTAGCAATCCATCTTAATAATGATCGGAGACTAAAAAAAACTAACAGATCTCAAAAGAAACTTCAATAATCCATAATCCTTCCTCCAGCTCCCCAATCAAACTCATAAATCACACAGAAATACGAATAAGTAGGTTTCCTATTGTAGCAATCAATCTTAATTAACCAAGAATAGGGGAAAAATCAAGAATCTAAGAACGAGAGAAGAGGAGTCCGCATGCGAGGGATTAAGGAGAAATCCGCAACTTCTGCTACTCCTCCACAGAGGAAGAGGAAGAAGAAGAAGTTCGAACTTCGTAATGAACATGAAAATCAAATTGGTTTAGCATCAAAGAGAGAACAGGGGCTCACATGGAGATGGCGGACCAGAGACGATGATTGCGAGGTTGCAGAGGAAGAAAGAGCTCGAACTGCCGTGGTAGCTGCCTGCTTCATCGCCATTGTCGCCTTCTGATTCTCTCTGAAAAAGCTTTATTGTGAATGATGGTGATGAATTACGAGTTTCACGGTTCGCAGCGCTGTATTTATAGTTGGCGAAGTCCCATTGGAAGACGAAGCGCTCTTTGCTTTCTTTTTCAGTTCTGTTCTCTCCGGAGACTGCCTTTGTTCTGCACGCCGCCACGTCGGTGTTCTCTTTCTTTGCTTTTATTCATTCAATATTCAAATATTGCTTTTTTCTTTTTTACAGTGTTTTGATTCTACTTTTTCTCTCATATTTTGTTCACGTGGGTTAAGAAATACTTTCCACTTCTGTATTTAGTATTATTGTTGAACATTGATATATAACCATTTAGTTTTTATAGTTAAAAAATTTGTAAGAAAAATCCGTAAAAAATCTCATCAAAATTAGATGTCGATTTTTATCRCATAACAATTTAGTCTTTTAATTTATAAATACAGATCCTTATCGATTTATTGATCTAAATATATATAAAAAAAAACTAACAAATATTTTCACGATATGGACTAGATTGTTACAAACTTTATACTAGGACTAAATTGTTACAAAAATTCATTGACTAAATCGTTACTTCAATGAAAGTAAAGGGACAAAGGTGTTTTTTTATTTGACTTTTTAAGTTTAATATTTTGGTTTATGTACTTTAAACTTTTGTTCATTTGGTCATTTTAATACTTGTGGTTTAAAAACCTTTGTTGTGATCTTAGTGACTAATTCGGTCCACATTTGCAAAATTTTAATACAAAATTTATAGACAATAGAGAAATCCTTTAATACAATTTTATGGCTATGTCTCAATAAATTTAGTGAGTGAATTGTCRAAATTGTGATCGAAAGAAATGAGATAAAAATAAGAATGAAGGGACCAAAAAATCCGTTAATATAAATATATAGCTACACTTCATTAAATTACCGTTTTCACTGTCCGGATTATGCAACTGGCCGAGCAGCATACTAAGATCATCTCGAGTTACTATATCCYCGGAGCTGACCCTTTGAGCAAGACTTTGTGTTACGTCTAACTGGGTGTATCGACCACAAGTAAGGGAATCCAAATACGATTCCAAAATGATAGAAGCCTTTAAGCACAAAGTATCCACAGAATCCATTGGATGCGCCTGTGGCAGGTTGACTTCAGCCAAAAAGTTCAGAATTTGTGGCTGGGTCGGGATGTGGTTAGTGAGTGAGAATCGTCACGTTAAAACTATGATTTGAAAGAAATGAGATAACAATGAAAATGAATAAACCAAAATTGTCAAAATACAAGAACAAAATGGTACATAAACTGAAATGAAAAAAAAAGTTAGAAAATAAAATTACATGGACCAAAATAGTATTTAAACTATTTTTTTTATAAAGTTTTGATTAATTTCATATTTAGTCACCGTTTTAATTTAGTTTTTATAGTTTTAAAATTTTAAATTTAATCTCCATGGGTTGAGCTTATTTTTAATTTTCTTGATAGGATTTAGGTTTAGCTTCTATGAATTTTTTTTTTTAGAAAAAAAATTAATTCCCATGATTTTAAAAGTTTTAAGGTGATTTCTACTTTATTTAAGGATTTATGGCCGAGTAAAAARTAGAAAGAAAATATGTAGATCTTATATATGGATGGTAAAGCACACTTTAGGGATGACTTCGTGAGACTTACCATTATACTTGTAAGAAATAAAGACGGCAAAAGTATCTAGCTATGAGTAGATTGGAATTATTCAAAATGATTTTGACAGTTCAAGTAAAGATGTGATGGTTAAAAGATTATTATATATAGATGTGGTTAAAGCAAATTGTTTATCTTAATAATTATAGATCACTCAAATTTTATASTAACAATTATAGTTTTACGTGAAAATAGTCTAAGTCATAACTAAACAAACGAATCGTATAGATTTTATAGGCGAACTTGAATGTAGCATGATAAAGTTTTGTAGTGAAAATTTTGTCTTTCGTTGTCAGGTTGACGAGATCTTATTGTATGATTTAGATATTTATACGGTGGGTCCGACTTGGTAGACTTGGTGGCAAAAAATTAAGAGACTCTATTACGTGCAGTGTTTAAACTAGAGTGAAGGTAAAAGTTTTTATGGAGAGAAGCAAAATTTTACTTTCTAACTTTATAAAAAGAAAAAAAAAATTGATGGAAGTAAATTAGAGATAAAATTAAAATCTTTTAACTTTTTCAATAATTTTTTTAAGAGATAATGTCTTCTGGTAGGATTTTTTTTATAATATCGATTNTACTTTTATTTATTACATTTACTCTTATTATAGTTTTTTTTTTTTTTGTAATTTAAAAGATTCGTATAAAAAATATTTTTTCCTATGATTTACCATTATTATTAATTWAAAAAAATCCAATTTTGATATTTCCGTGCAATTAACCATTGTCATTGTAACGAAAATTTTTTATTACATTGGAGCTAACCACTGTCCTTGTCAAAAAAAAAATTATTTCCCACTTTCGATGTAATGGTTTATGGTTGAACCACGGACATCCAAAAGACAAAAATGTAAATAGTGCAAGGCAACCACCGAACATTTTAGATTTCTGTATGTATGTTTTGGAAAATATACCTACGATTTAATGATATTATGAAGTATAACATCAAAAGTTTTCGGCAGCAACAAAAAGCAACAGAGTTGGATTGTATCTTGCAATTTGATTTTTAATAATAGATATAAAATATATCCAGATATAATCTTTTAACTATTGAAGTCCTAATCTCATATAAACTTATATAGTGTGATATATATTATATCCGCATATAACCATTAACCTATTCTATCAATTTAGACACCCTAGCACATGCTTCATTATTATAAATTGCTCTTATTAACATTAACCTAGCAAATGCAATCAAATACAATTACAAAATAAACCTATATGATAAATATAAAATATATCCGATTATTGAGTTATTATAACTACCAAAATGGTACTTAGTTGTGGATATATATTATATCTGCATGTTCGGGATAAGGGGACAGCTCGAACGGTCGACGGACGACCGACGACGAAGAAGAAGYTACGGCCTGCTATGGGTTTCCGGTCGGMGACTAAAGATACACGGTCGACGACCAAACCTCGTCATAAACGGACGAAAACAATGGACAGGCGGTCGGAGACGAAGGAGAAGCTAGAACGGTGTGCTTTTACAACGAATAAGAAGCTTGAACGGACGGAAACAATGGTGGAAGGAACRGTTCGTGGAAGGAAACCAAACGGAAGAAGAAAGGTCGGAAGGAGGTTTTTGAAAATTTGGAATAATGGAGGATTTTGTGGATTTGAGTAGTATTTTGGGATTTGGTAATTTTTATTTTTTGAAAGAATAATTAGACAAAAATTAAGAGATTTAAAATGTAAACTTCCAAATAACCAATTTTGGATTTTCAAAAATAATTAATATTTAGATGTAGGTACAAAATGATATAATGGTAAATTTATGGTAGGTGTCATCTTAAATTGAGTTGTTTCATGACAAAATTAAATTTTGTACATTAAATTCTTTTATATAATTATAATCTCTAAATAGACTATCAATATATTAACCTTTTTTTAATCTAAAACAAATCAAGAGATGGGCATTCTTCATCAGTTTCGCCCCTATATCCAAATTGTGTTTGGTGTCAAGTAGGTGGCTGGGACCCTTGGGCTTGTAATACGAGGAAGATATATAATGACCATTGAGGCCTACAATATAATGTGCTATCATATGTTAAACTAAGGATAAAGTTTTTGAGCTATGTTTAGCAATGACGCGTAGGGCATGTGTTTTTAACGAACAAATATAACGTAGATAGGTTGTATTTTAAAGATCTTATTAGTTGTRAGATGTCCCAAGTGATTGGCCAAAAATAGCGCATACAAAGTTAGCGATGTAAAGTATATCATCGAGAAAAAAAAAAACAAATGAAAATGGGAAAATGTATGGAAATATAATTTCGTTTCAATAAAAAATGGGCAAAAACTAACTTAGAGCTCCATGGATTAAAATATATATATTCGTCTGGATTCAAATCTCCCCCGTGTATTATTAAACTAAAAATTAGTGCAAACATATAGGTTTATAAAAAGTTATGCAAAGTTAAAATATTTGATAGACGTTAGTTTTGCAAAAGTTTTTATATTAGAAAGCATATTATTTTTTGAGAAAAAAATGAAAAAAAACAACTCGTTGAAATTGAACTAGTAAATAGAAGTCGTAGGCTAAAGTATAATTATCTTCAATCATTCCTGATCATAGATTAGTATTATTTTTTATAGGAGCGATGTCAAAAAACAACTTGATTTTTGTATTTTTAGTTTTGCTTTAACTTCGGTCTCGTGTTTTCAAAACGTCGATTTTAATCATTATACTTTTAGTTTTGGTTCATTTTTTAGTTCCATAGTTTCAAAATATATTTTTTCTATCCCTGTACTTTTAAAAACGACGAATTTAGTCTATCAATTTACATTATTATCTCATTTATTTGATCAAAATTTTAACTCGACGCTCAATTCACTAAATTTTTTAAAATGTGATCGTAAATTTGAATTAAATGGTTTCTCTTATGTATAATTTTTTTGTTAAAATATTAACTAAAATAGTCACATTTTAAAAGTCTAGGGACTAATCCATATGTTTTGAAACTACAAAAATTAAAGAAGATAAATGAAATATATGGACATTTCGAAAATTCATTGATTAAAATAAATCAAACTGAAATTACACTGTAAAAATAGTATTTAAATCTTATTTATTTTTGTATAAAACCGAGTATTTTTTATTATTAGTACAGCAAAATGAGTATTATTTGTTGGTTATAAACTTATAACAATAAGTTGAATTTAAAATATGACGCCAAAATTATGAATCCCATTGGTTGACGCCGATTGACCGTGACGTGCACCTCCCAAAGGGATAAGGAACAAAACTAAAATAAAATCTTATCTTATACAACTAACACGCACACTCTCTCTCTAATTATTTGGTCCTATAAAGTTTTTATCATTTTGAGCTATTCTTTCTCTCTAATTATATGCCCCTATATATTTTAATACGATTTAATTAGCATACTAAAATAAATATTTAAATACTATTTTCATACATTTAAAATTTCTATTTTAATTCATATAATTTCAACTCTTGTTTCGTACGT